CGCCGGCATGTGCTCCCGGCGGGAGAAGGGGCTGCTGCAGGCCGGCTTCTGCCTGGCGGCGCTGGCTTGCCTGGGCGCCGGGGCTTTCCTCTACGGCCACTTGCAGCAGAAGGTGCGCGGCGCCGAGGCGCTGGCTCTCAAGCACCGGCAGCAGCAGGAGGCTCTGTCCGCCCAGCTGCAAGGTGAGTGACCAACCCCCCGTGCAAGGGGCTCGAGCCCCTTTGCTCCCTCTGTGCCCCCCTTGGTGCCCAGCATCCCCTAAGTTTCCAGTAAGTGCGGGCAGGGGTGTTGGGCGAAGGACACGGGCTCTGGTATTAGACAGTTGGAAAAAATTCTTCTTTTGCAAGCTTTCGGGGGTAAATAGATGCCCTTCGTGGGGCCGACGAAGCATCTTGAAGCGTGGGTCCTCGGCTCCGGGGGTGTAGCTGGATCCTGGCTGTAGGCTGGGGGAGATGCTGAGTTGGGGTGGAGGGTGTCGTGGGAGCAAGGGAACTGCCCCCCTTCAGGGAGGGAGCTGCGGAGGTCCAGCCTGTGTGTGCTGATTCCTGGGGTACGGAGGCTGCTCCCACCCTGCCCCAAAGCGCTTGTGGGACGGGATGGGCGTTTCTGAGATCCCACAGGCAGCAAACTTTGCTTCCCCCCCCTAAAACCACCCCCCCAGTCTCCCTGCTTGGGGGGATTTCAGGAGAGCGCTCCGGGAGCGCAGAGGTGGAAGGTGCACAGGGCTGTGTCTGAACTCTTCCTTTTCCAGACTGTCCCTTCCAGGCTTCCCGTCGCGCTGCCAAAACTACAGTAGAAATGCTGGCACTTCCCCTACATCCTGAGCATGCCTGTGGCTTTTTTTGTGGAGGGGGTTTGGGGAGCCCCGAGCTGCGGGTCGTGGTCCCGGAAGATGAGCTCGGCTGTAGGTCCTACAGCGCGCGGTTCATACCAGTACGTGTGCCTGCGCCAATCCCAGAGTCTCAAGGTCAAAAGCATCTTTGAAACATGTTTCTCCTAATAAATAATAGACGAGACTCCAGCCGCGGAGTCCAGCTGTTTCTCAGGCCAACATCCAACGTTGCATCTGCTCCAGCCTCCCTTGCATATTAGTGTAGCATCTCCCTACCAGAGCCTGCATTGCCAGGAAACTCTGCAGATCCCGGCTCCGTCACTGACTCACGGGCACTCTCCCTTCTGGGCTAAGCTGTCACGTGTGCGTGTGCGTGTGCGTGCAGTGTGTAACACTGAGCACATGGAGAAATGTGTGGGCAGTTTGGCGCACAGGCTTCTTGCGACCCTGGCTCTCTGGCCTCATCAGCGAAGCAGGTGGAGGAGTTTCCTACGTGTCTCCCAGGGGCACAGGAGGCTGTAGAGCTGCCGTGTGCTGCGTGTGTGCTCAGCGCTGCTTTCCGACGGACCCCTTCTGCTCAAACTTGTGGCATTTCCAGCGCGAGCATCTTCAGCAGAGTCCCAGCAGCTGTCTGAACCCCCGGTCAGAGGCCGCAGCTCTCTGGCACAGGGTTCAGCAGCGCGAACACAGCCCATGTGTCCCACTGAGCACTGGCTGCGGATGGGGGTATACGAATGAGCTGAGGCCCTCCGTCTCGGGCCCTGCGGGCTCGGTGAGCGGGGCTGAGGAAGCAAGGAAGTCGGAGCCAAAACAATTTTCCATCCAAACAGAGTTTATGTGCGAAAGATGGAGGCACAGCGAGTAGCCTGTTGCTGGCGCCTCTAACTCACTCACAACCCACCCAGGAGTAAATACAGCCATTGCCATGGAAACCCTCTGTATTTTGAGAACACGGCCAGTTATTTTAGCCGGGAAAAAAAAAACTTGGATTCAAGTTTGGAGAAGCCGAGTGGCTGGGCACCGACGAAGCAGCGATGTGACGGTGGCACATCTCACTGTGGGTCTCGTGCGGTCTCCCCGGCCCTCTACCAGTAGCGTTGGCCCGGTACTTAAAGCAGAAGGGCAGTCATCAGTTTTCCTGGGTTCTTCCCAGCTCTGCTGCTGAGGCTTTGAGCATTACCAACTTCATGCCCCTCCCTGTTAAATAGGCACAGGATTTCATGGGGAGAGCAGGAGGCTGGAATAGGCTGTGTTTATCCAGCGCTTTACATAACTCTGGGCATCCGTCAAGTATTTCCTGTTCTCCCTGTGGCCAGCACAGCAAGTGGTCAACATTTCTGGCTCCCACAAATAGTTTTAAAGCAAAACACTGGGCTAAACATTACAGTGGGGGGGAGGAAGAAAGCAAGGGGAGGACGTGAGACTTTGTAAGCCTTAGGGACACTTTCTCCTTGGGAGGGAAACATGGCAGCCTCCAGACCTGGCTGCTTTTGTGAAAGGAAGAAGAGCCTGGGGCTTTCTCTGGGTGGGCACAACTCCTGCCCGACCTCCTGGGCCTGGACTGGCATGTGTAACCCTGAGTGCTGGCTCACCCTCCCTGGCACACAGGCGCAGGATGCAGCCAGGAGCTGGCTGGTCCTGCTAATGCTATAACTAGTGTGGGCTGCCAGTGAGGGGCCAAAATCCAGGACATACCCCTGGATGGCTCACAGCCCCACAAGTTGTCTGTGCCCCTTGTGATGCAGGGAGTGTGGCCAGCTCTGGGTACCCAGGCTAGGCCCATATAGTGCTATGTGACTGTGCTGGCACTCGCTTTCAAGTCGTGGGGTTGGGGTCCACGAGACATGAGGCTGGAAAAGGGGTTTGGAGGCAATCTGCCTGGATGCACGTGGTGGCTCTTGTGAAGACCTGGCCCCCACAAAGCCATGCAGTTCTGTGAAGTTTTCTGGCACGTGGCTTTAAGATCCTGTTCTCCCAACCCTCATGTGAGTCGGGCCAGGGAGCAGATGTCTGGCACGGATGCAGTTTCCGTTCCCTCCCTTGTGCTCTGACCTCTCTTCCAGGCTGTCGGGTCCCCTTGCGGGGTAACCCAGCCTCCAGGCCAGGAGGATCCCCCAGTGGGGTCCCCCAAGGCTCTGTCCTTGGGCCAACACTATTCAACATCTTCATTAATGATGTGGACATTGGTGTCAGAAGCTGACTGGCCAAGTTCGCCGATGACACCAGACTCTGGGGTAAAGTGTCCACACCTGAGGACAGGAGGGAGATCCAGGCTGACCTTGGCAGGCTCAGAAAATGGGCAGATGAGAACCTGATGGTGTTTAACACCGAAAAATGCAAGGTTCTCCACCTCGGGACGAAAACCCTGCAGCATGCTTATAGGCTTGGCACAGTGCTACGCTGGCTAGCACTACGGACGAAAGGAACTTGGGGGTCATATTTAACCACAAAATGAACATGAGCCTTCAATGTGATGCTGCAGCTAGTGAAGTGAGCAAAATGCTGGCTTGCATCCACAGACGCTTCTCAAGCAAATCCCAGGACGTCATTTGTTGTACTCGGCCTTCTCACATTGTAGTCAGCCTTGGTGAGGCCGCAGCTGGAGTACTGCGTCCAGTTTTGGGCTCCACAATTCAAAAAGGATGTGGAGAAGCTTGAGAGAGTTCAGAGGAGAACCACGCGCATGATCAGAGGTCAGGAAAACAGACCATATGTTAAGAGGCTGAGAGCTATGGGACTCTTCAGCCTGGAAAAGCGCAGGCTCAGGGGTGATCTGATGGCTGCCTATAAGTTCATCAGGGGTGACCACCAGCATCTGGGGGAACGTCTGTTCACCAGAGCGCCCCGAGGGGTGACAAGGTCAAACAGTCACAAACTCCTCCAGGACCATTTCAGGCTGGACATAAGGAAGAACTTCTTTACTGTCTGAGTCCCCAAGGCCTGGAATAGACTGCCTCCAGAGGTGGTTCAAGCACCTACTTTGAACTCCTTCAAGGGAAATTTGGATGTTTATCTTGCTGGGATCCTATGATCCCTACTGACTTCCTGCCCCTGGGGCAGGGGGCTGGACTCGATGATCTTTTGAGGTCCCTTCCAGCCCGAATGTCTATGAAATCTATGAAATCCAGGGGTGACCGTCTGGATACATTGCTCCTTTTCCAGTGCCTTGGCAGCTGGCATGGGCTTTCTCTCCCCCCCCCCTCCACCCCCAGCCATCACTCATGATTAGAGAGAGCCGTGAGTTAATGCTGGCGCTTGCTCTGTTTTGCAATCTGCTGCTTTTCGCGTGATTCCCTGAAAGCAGCTGCGGCTTGGCATTTGGGGTGGGCGGGTGTCTGTGGCGGAGGTGGCAGGGAAGTCCTGGGTGGCTAGCAGGGATGTGAATGAAGGAGGACTCGGCTGATCCCTGAGACAGAGAGGCTACCAGCAGGAGGAGACACCATCTGGGTGATTAGCTTTGCGGTGGATGGAGCCCAGGGCACATTACCGCCCGAAGTTTGGGTGGGTCTTTGTGGGCTGAAAAACTGCATACTTTGCAGCGATGAGCAAGGCATGTGGTTGCCTACACAGCAATTGCCTTCGCTCGTCCTAGCAAACGGCGCGCCACGTCTACCTATAACGCACCCAAGGCTATGTTGGAGCTTCACAGCTGCCGCAATGGTGCACTCATAAGGGCTCTGTTGAAGGGAGGGAGAGCCCCAGCACTCCTGCTCCAGAACCACAGGCTCCTGACCTCTCGAGTTAAAGGAGACTCAGTTAGCTCTTTGCTATATAGGGCATATGTTACACGATTGCACTTCTTTGATTCCTACCAGTGGGGACAGGAGGAAACCGCCTTCCCAGATCACGACACCACTTTTTGCATTATAAACTGTAGATTTTAATGAAGGGATTTTTATTTGAGGCAAAGCACATGGTGTCACCAGATCCTGGAGGATTCAGAACAACCTGTGAGAGGAGAAAATAGGTGAGAGCAACATCCAAGTCGGCCTGACTTTCAGGGAGTTCAGTTATCTCCCCATCTGAACTGGGGAAGTGCCTTCCAAGAGGCCTCAGAGGGTCCTCAAGGCAGCAGGTGCATAATGGCAAGGAACTGCCAGGAAAAGAAAGTTGGGGGTAGGAGGGTGATCTTTTTTTAAACAGCCAACCTCCGCACACACGGAAAGGAGAACATCCTGGAGCTCCAGGAAACAGCAGGCAGAGTCAGTTCTATTCAGCAGCTCCAGTCTTTGCACTTCAGTCTCTTTGGCAGCATGTGACTGCTTTAGACCTGGAAATCTGGCCGGACTCCAGCTTGGCTAATTACTCTCCAGCCTCCCTCCTATAATTGCAAATGGCTGCGGAGTTCTT